AGTCCTGTTTTAGCCAAACCAGGACAATTGAATGTGTTTTCACCCAAGTATTTCTCTTACCTGAGGTATCTGGTGTTTAAAAACTAAAAACCACAAGCAGCAAAATACAACCGCCCAAACCCATTTTATTTATATATATATGTGTGTTTGTGTGTCTGTTTGTATTTAGGTAAATATATTTAAACTGGTTTTAGATATGCACAAATGTATAAATAAGTGTGTATATTATAACTTATAAAATATAAACATTTTATATCTTACAGTTCCATGTGTACTGTATATTAGTAATTAAAATAAAATATATGCATTTTATATTTATGTTTTATTTAACATTTATGTTTATATAAATTGAATTATAAAAGGAAAAAAGAGCTGAGAGATCTGTTCACTTACATTACAGCCTGAGAGAGTGGAAATTGAACTTTTTGAGTACATTCTTTTCATCAAGTGGATATTTTCAGTACAGTGAACTGAGGAGAAATAAGTGAATTGACTATATATTGAGGATGTTACTTGTGAATTAAAATATGGTTTCTCTATGTGTTTGAAAATTAACATTTTTATTCTTGATATTGGTCTTAAATTTGATGCCTGTTTAGGAGGTAGAAGATAGAAGTGCTGTTCTGAATGTGAGGTCACTGTATGAAAGACTGCTTCTGCTCTGTCTTTTTGGTTGGAGGGCCATGGTCATGTTTGCCCTGAAAAGTCAGCAGGACAGACCAGTGTACTGAGACATTTGGTGAGTGGAAGGAGGAAGAGGTACGGACTGTCCCATCTGCGGTGGGGATGGCCATTTTAGATTGAGATTGGTACTCATTTTAGTCACTGATACCTCCAATCTCCCACCATAATAAAGGAACATCTATCATAGAAGCTTTTGGTAAACTACTGCCTGTGCTAAGTACACATGGAAACAGAAGATGTAAGAAGTGAAAATGCAGTTGTTTGTCATTTATGTTCCTATGTTCATCAAAAAACAAAAAGCTGTGTGATGAATGTGAGCTAGAATTAGTGAAAAAGTATTGTTTGAAATGAGGATTAGTCTTCACCTGTATATTTTGTTTTGGGTTAAGAAAAAAATCAGGATATTGCCACATCTCATCTGTGGCTTGTCACCTATGCCGTTAGTTTGTGTGGTGCGAACATTTCAAAGGGAAGAATAACACCTGTATTTTTGGGTTAAGAAAAAAATCAGGATATCTCATCTGTGGCTTGTCACCTATGCCGTTAGTTTGTGTGGTGCGAACATTTCAAAGGGAAGAATAAAACTTCTTACAGCTTAGTATGAATGAAGGAGAGTACTAATTAGGAATTGCTCATTATGTTCACAGATCTCAACTGCAATTGTACTGTGCTAATTTATGGTAGTTACAGTGTCCCTCTATAAATACTATTTTTCAGTCTGCTAGACTCCAAGGCACAAAGTTCTTAACTGAATCTGTGTATCAGCTGCTAAGCTTCTTGATATTTTGTACCCTTAGTTCAAAAAATCAGTCTTAAATGGAAAAGCTAAGTAACTGCTTGCACAGCTTTAATTCTGCCCTCTTTGAAGAAAAGGTATGTTATGTTGCCTGTTCTGCCTTTGAACTGTGTTGTACAAAAACTGTTCAAGTAGTTCTTGCATTCAGGTCTTGTAAGAAACACCATGCTTCCTAAGTCCTTCCCCTTTAGACATTTGGTGTCATCTAATGCTTTTTGTATTTTTCCTTCCATAACTGACAGGCTGCACTACTTCTTACCTGATTTATTCTACTTCCTAATTAAAACAAAAAACAACAACCAAAGCAACAACAACCCCCCCCTCCCCCGACTATGTGCTCTAAAATGAACACAAAACTGTAGGTGAAAGCTACACTGTACATCAAGGATTTGAGGCCTGTAGACATCAACTGTTGTAGGAGCAGAGTGAAGGCTGCATGAACATACATTCTGCTTTCTGATTTTCAGAAATCTTTTTGAACCCTTGTGAAAAGGTAAAAGATACTACTGGGCAACTGTAACTCAGGATATGGTTTCCCAGTAGCATCAGCCAATTAAGGTTGGGACTACTTTGTTGTGGGATCTAGTTTAGCTATATATGCATCCTGCTTTTGCTGAGTTGGTTTTCATCTGGAGCATTTTTCTGAACAAGGTTATTGTCTGGTTTTGTAAGTGCCTATGCCAGCACAAGGAACAGGGATGTATTTGTGGCTGGGAGAAGACTGTACTGTAGCAGCTGCTGGGTTGCAGTGCTGTGGGTTAGCACACTTAAATGTGAAATTACGTCTTTGATTTTATTTTGTTTTTTTTCCCCAAATAGCAATATGGTATAGGAATGCATACAAGTGCCTATTCTGAGATAACGATGGAATTGCCGCTGTCTATATTGGATCAGTGGAGTTTAGCATACAGGGTTATGGTTGTGGTTCCACTCTGAGATTGACCTGAATTTGAGTACTATTTTTCCACCATTTTAATACTGTGTTGTATGTTAATCTTTATAAGGTGTATCATCTGGTAATCTTCTCCCACAGGGTTCTTGAGGTATTTGCTAAGTCATGTCAAACATGAGGTTTAATAATAGAATGCAGTAATGAGTAGTAGTTAACAGCATTTGCATACAGTTTAATTTATTATTGTTCTGTTCTCTGGTGCTCAATTATCTGAAGCATTAAAATCTGCTGTTTGACATGCTATGAATGGTACTAGTACAGGGTAAATTAGTAAAACCTGCTACTTTAATGTTTTCCTTAGTATATGGAACAGCATTTCAACGCATACACACCTGTGTGTGAGGCTCCAACTGGGGTCTATCCTATGGTGGCTAAAGAAACTAAGCACTTTTTCTAACATTAAGTGTAGCCACTTCAAAATATTAAATATATTTAATTCTGTTGCACATATTAATGGCATTTTATTTCCTTTAAAATATAAGCCACATGGATTAAATTTCAGTAAGAACTCTAACATGAGAAAGTTAAATAAAAAGGTATTTAAAGTAAATCCGCCAAATATTAGAAACACACATGACTATGCTGGCATAAAAAGGATCTTTCCTGAAATACAGGGCTATTGAAATTTCCATTTATGTTTTGAAATAGACCTTTGTGGAGCTCCTGGGATATTAATTAATATTTGGGAAATACCTAGAAACAATGTTATTCATTAGCTTAGTAAAAGTGATGAAAATGCAGGAGACTTACTGTATTGTTGCATGTGGTTTCCTTTTGATTTTTTTTCTATCTTAATTTGTTTTCGTACTTCAAAGGCTTTTGAAAACATTGAAAAATGTATTTGAAAAGAATAAAAATGGAAAAAGATATTGCTGTGGTGTTTTCAAAAATCGATTGCAGAATTTATATTTTAATATTGAAATAAGTGGCCTTAAATGTTTTACTGCTTTTTGAAATAATAGAGAAATAAAAATTCATTGTAGTCATACCATTCAAAATTAATGTGTTAATAAATATGTTATCAGATATGTCTTCCTGTATTAGTAAATAATCCTCTGGGAAAGTTCTGCTTTCATGGTACGAAGGATGATTTTGGTGATTTGCCTGAGTGGTTGCTAATTTATGTGGAACTAGTCTAATGTGCCTGTTATGCTAGTCCACTGCATGTCCTTTGGAAAATCATGTGTGTTCAGGATTCCTCCATGGTTAGGTGGGGGATATGTGGTTTAGTAGCTGCTGTTACCATTTCTTGAGCATTTGGCAGTTTTTCTCCATTGTGTCCTGCTCCCGTATGTGTTACTTTGCTAAGTATTTTAATACCACAGTTGTTTAAACAGCACTGTTGAAGACATGAGACTATAAAGTGAGGCAATTTATATTCAATTGTCATGTAATTTGTATTCAATTACATAAACTGTGGAGGATGATTTTTGTAATTAATAGATTGAGTGAAACAGTATTGATTAACAATTGGCAGAGATACCAAGTTAGTATCTCTTGATTATCATATCATAAGATCTTTAATGTACAGGCACAACTGGGCTATTTTTGTTTAAATTTCCTTCACTTTGAGGAATTCAAAGTCCCTCAGTTGAACATACTGAGATAACATCAATTCTAAGTGTCTCAGAAAAGTGACACATATTAGCATACATCATTTCTCATACAACTGTTACCAACTGTTTATTAGCGCATAATGTCTTTTCTAATGGAAAACCTTTTTGAGCAGTATTTCTTTTCTCCTGTTCAGGAAAAAGAAGAGTTGATTGAAGAATGGCAGCCAGAGCCTCTTGTACCTCCTGTACCAAAAGATCACCCAGCTCTTAACTACAACATTGTTTCAGGGTAAATGTAGCCAAAATAAATTGTGGGTTTTATTTCAACTCAAATACTTAACATCCATATTTTTAAGCGTATTTCTTACTAAGCATTTCCATATTGTTAAAACCTTTCATAAATAAATTGCATTTTTAGATAACAGGACTAAATTTGCCACTGAAGAGATGGTCTTGGTTTTGCAACGTTATCAAGACTATCTTATTAAGAAAATTTTTTTTACTTTAAATGTTGTAATTAATTTTTTTTTTCTTTGTAATATTGGGAATGGGAGGAGGGACACTCACTTTATTGTAGGTCTGTATTGTTTGGTAGTAATCTGTTTCATTTTTTCCAAATATGTAGACTTAGACCTCCAAAAGTGGTTACCACTTTTAGGGTAGGGGTTGGGGGAAACTGTCATCACAAACCACTTTAGAAGAAATTGATTTTGTGGCTAGTCACTTGGCATTTCATGAAAAGTTGTTCCTCTGGATAATCAGAAGTGGAGATGCTTGATGGCGAAGTTGTTTTGTGAGGAAATTATGGCTCAGCATTACTTTCTTGTGTGTTACAAGGTTTTAAAATGTAATTTGCTGACAATTATTTGCTGTCATAGGGAGCTCCATTTTGATGGGTCTGCCACCATGGAAAAGTCTGCCTTAGAAAAGGGATTCCTATTTTAATCAACTGTGATGTGAGCAATCATTCTGTTACTGTTCAGAATTTTGGAACAAGCAGTACTGTGGAGTTAAAGGAAGTGTTGGATGTTTAAAAAAAGTCTGAACAAATATATCTTTTTGATTGATTCAGAAAATGTTTAAATTATGTAAAACTTTCCAGTGCTTACAGCTAGGGAATGTCTTATGACAGAATGTTAATGTGTTATGGCTGTTAAACTTAATAGTGGCTATGGGGAAAACTTGGTGTTTGTCTTGTAAGATTTAAACTGCCTATTACCTACCTTCCCGTAAGTTGCTCAACAGCTATGAGATTGTAATGGGCTGTAAACTTAGCCCACATTTTAGAATTAATACAGAAATTAAAATATCTGCATCCTAATTCCAGCTCAAAAACATTTCTATCCCCCTTTTAATTAGTATTTTAGGGGGACCCTATTGATGTTAAGGAGGTAGTCTTTTTTCAATGAATTTCATGTGTTAATGTCTACTGTGAATGGTGATTTACATAAATCTTAATTATCTTAGTACGTGGTGGTTCAATATTGCATATCTGCAGTAAAGTGTGGATAGGGTTTTTATAGTCTCATAACCACTTAGGAAGTATTAAATATTTCAGTAAAAATTTTGACCCACTATGTGGGGGAGGCAGACTTGCTCCTGCCTCAATACGCAAGGCAGTTTGTGCCTTGTGTTAGCATGCTCCTTTCTGCTGAGCACTTGCATAATCCCAGTAGTGTTGCCAAATTATTAGCAAAGCCAATAATGCAGAGAATTGTCTCAACAAAAAAAGTGACCAGTCTTGAATCAGCAGTGAAGAAGTTACCCATGACGGCTTGGTCACAGTCCAGAAATTATTTATGTGTTGTGGCAGCCTTTCTGTGAACTAGTCTATGCAAGATAGCTTAGTTGTACAAGATCTCATTCAGAAAATGTAAACCTATTTCCTAGAACAGTATGTTTGCAAAATTCTTGTGGTGATTCTTGTTTTGCTTTAAAATAAAAAGGCACTAATGATCTGTCTTTTAACTTTATCATCTTCTGCGGCTGATTTTTCAATACATGCAACACTTAAGAGATAAGTGAGGGGTCCAAGTACAGATGGAGTGCTTTTGGTCCTTAAAAGACACAATTTCTGAAGGGCTTGCTTGCAAGTTCTTTGAATATAGCTTGCAATCATATTTTTATCTACAGTTTCAGCTGTATCACTTGGTATCTTACAACTGTTGTCCATAACCACAATACCTAATGAACTGTGTTATGCTAGGGGGAGGGAGATACATGAAACTATAAAGATATTAAGTGTTTCACTCCTTTCCTTTTGCAAAGACTTGTTGTTTTTGACATTGCAAGGAAGGTTTTATGATACTGTTTGCATCCATGTTTTGGATATAATTATTCACTGGAATAAGCTTTTTCCACGAGTGTTTTCTGCCTAACCATGAGTGTTCCTTTAGAAGGTAAGGTAAAATTCTGATAGCAAAGCATGGCCATGTTTTCATGAGAGCTGCAGCTTTGTTAGGGGCAAGTTGTTGGTGAACACTAGTGTATTTTATAGGTTTGAGAGGTTGAACTGTGGGAACAAATTGTTGTAAATTTAACACGTTTAATAGTATGCTGGGAATATACTGAACCTTGTGTTAGTGCAAAAATACATAGGCATAGGTTTGCTTTTGTGAATATCTGTGAACCTAAGTAGTTGTTTCACTTAATAGAACTTCCAACATTTGATAGGGTTTGTTGATGAGAAAGACAGAGGAACAGATCCAGGTATATTTTTAATGGCAGTCAGTTCCCCAAGACAGTTTGCTGCGCGTTTGTATAATCCTAGTACTGTGCAGAAGATGCACTGCAGTAATGCAGGACTGCTCCTTTGTGAGGTGAGGTTCAGCTTGTGTCAGTTTAATATCATGGAATAACATCATGGTGCACAAAGATGCATGAAGATGCACGGCACATGCACTGTGTTAGTAGAAAGCTTTCCAAAGCTGTTTGGTAAGCTTTGCTATTGCTTAGTTGAAGCAACATGTGCTTAATTTTTAAAGTGAATAGATATAAAACAAAAACATGGAGTTTTTTTAAGTGAAATTCAAGCAGTTCAGTGCTTTTCTTAACTTATAGTGAATAGGTTGGAGTTAGAGTTTATTTGCTTCGCATACCAAATGTATCCATTAAAATATTGTCAGCAAGCAAATTCGGAACACCTGTGCCCAGCCATTTGACATTTGAGCAGCCCTGTTTAATTTTGATTGTGAAAATTGCTCAGTGGTAGCTTCCACATGGGGAAAGCTTGTTGAAACTATTGTCTTTGAGGAATAGTATAGGATCTCAACTGTAATGTTTGATAACACATACAGAAATGGGCAGTCATAAGGTTTTGTATTTGGCTTAGCTTTGAGACTTCTCAACACCCTGAGTGATTAACTGAAACTTCTGATTTTTGTAGTATCGAAGTGTATAATTGCCAAAACAGGATTGCTTTTAGAATACTACACACAGATGTGATGCTTGCATTTAAAGGGGTAATAACTATTTTTATCTTCAATTTTTTAGTAACTTTTTATCTAAATCATATTTTTTTAGGGCAGAAAATTTCTGTGCCCCTTGCTTAATATATTGTGCTCTTGTTCATTTGTTAATACTGGATGTTGTCACACTTTCTGTGTTTCCTGATTACATGAGTTATTCAAACAGTTACAGGTTAAATGGAACTGGAAACTTGAGATGACAGATAGTACAATACTTTTGTCAGCTTACAGCCAGTACCTGTATTTCAGGAGCCTCATTCAGTACAAGACTGATACTGTGGGTTTGCTTTATGACAAAAACATTGGTTTTAAATCAATTTTTATCATGGAAGTAAGTAGCAATGAAATTTCTTTTTTATTTGTAGTACTCCTTCTTTCAAATAGATATCACTTTACTTTTAAAGGAGAAACTTTATTTATCTCTTCAGGAGTCATCTTTGTATGAATTAAGTTTTCAGCAAGGAATCATTAAACTATCTCGGGAAGGTATTTACAGTTTCTTTGTTAAACTACAAGAATACAGTTATTGCTGAGTATCGTAGTATATTTGTGACTTGACACTGAATTTAAATATTGATTGGCAGCTGCAAAGGAAGAAGTAGAAGGAGGGAATCTTGAAAAAAGATGTCTTTTACTGTTGAAAAACAAAACTCCTGTACTGTTTGACTTTATGAAAATGGTAACTGTTCAGTCCTAACAATAGGTGTGTGATTTCTTTTTTCAGTCCTCCCACCCATATAATCACTGTTAATGGCAAGGAATGTATAAACTTTGCATCATTCAACTTTCTTGGACTCTTGGATAATGAAAAGGTTAAGGTGAGTTCTTCCAGTTATTGTATTTGTGTGATTATTCCTCTTTTACTTTGTACGTTATCTTAAAATTAAGAATGACTTCAGAAAGCACAAACTTTGTTGAGGAAGTATACTTCTAAAGCAGCAAGGAAGATTATAACCCTTGTAATTTTGTGCAATTTAAGTTTGTCTTTTTACTAAAGTTTAATCTGGTGTACTTACTGCATACTAGCTGATTACCAAGTTAGACTAGTATCTAATGTCCTTAATCACTAGAATACGATGAATGATGCTTAAATACTTGTCTGAAGTAGTTTTGGTGTGAAATTAATTCATAGACTTCGGTACATTGTTATACTTTCTGTAAAGCAGATCATGTTATATGATGCAAGAACTGGCCTGTGTACATTGGTATAAAATTGTCAATGTGAAGTGTATAGAAGAGTTATAAGATTTAATGTAGGAATAAATATTTCATGTAATTCTTTTCTGTTAAAGAGTGCAGCCCAGGCATCTCTGAAGAAATACGGTGTTGGCACTTGTGGACCTAGAGGGTTCTATGGTACTTTTGGTGAGTAACTTTCTTTGATCTGCCTTTAAAAGTGTTGGGACTGGTTTGGTAAGTCAGCCAAAATAGTTCTATATGTAAGCAGCAAATTGTTTCTATCGCTGTGAAGAACAGTTACCCTCTAACACAGTTTTTACTGTGATTGTTAAGGTTCATTGTTTGTAGCTTTATTTCTCACTTTATGTGTTTTCTTACTCTTTTTAATTCTCGTCTTGGAGAAGAGTTGTGAAGTTGCATATAATCTGTTTTTGTTCTGGGCACCATATCAGAAACAGAAAATAAACATACTAAGTGTCTAATTAGACCACAAGAGGGCAGTCTTATTTCTATGATAAAGATTATTAGTTAAGTTTATCTAATGCTGTAGTCAGAATGAAGTTTTCCTTTACTGACAACTTTAATGTTGTAATTCAGAGATTTTATGATGCGAGCAGATGTTACTAAGGGTTTTTTCTTTCTTTTCAAAAAGTAGTAAGTTGTTAACTGTTTCTAGAGGCTGATATTTACAGGTACTGGCATTTTGAAGTACTGCATAGAAATCGAAGACTAATACATGAATAGGTGCACAGTTGCAGGCTAAAACAATTGACGCATCATCTTGTGAACTTTCCAGTCTCTTCCCAGAGGTGATGGAATTCACGGTGTGTCTGTACTCAAATGATTTCATAGAGTTAGCTTTCTATACCCTTGACTTGAATTCAAGACTAACTTGAACTTTTCTCAGTTAATGAAGCTAGTCCTTTAAGTGATCAACCAGGTGCTGTACCTATTTTGATTTGTTAGAAGTCTATATATCAGAATGCAGTTGAGACTTTGATATCACTTACAGATTGTTCATTAGCCTAGAACCATAATTCATTTCCAAAGAAGGTGATGGTAGTCCACTGATTAGCAGAGAGCTTTTAGGAAGGTAGACTCTCACTGATCGCAGTTCAGCAGTGATCTGTTGGAATTCATACAGGCTTTTTTTTTTCCCTCCAAAAACACTGAAAAGCTCAAAGAAACTTGTGAACTAATGCCTCCTGCCTTTTGAGTCGATGCTGATTTTAAGTTTTGTGAAACCTTTCACTTTGCTTCTTTCTAGTAATTATTCAAAACAGACTGGTTAAAAGTTGATTTTCTTTCCTAAGTGAGAGATTCTTTGGGTTGTTTCCTGCCCTCTTTGGAGGTCTAATCCTAAGATCCAAACTGTATAGGTTTTGCATCTAGTTTGATTGCTGTTCATTGGCTTCTGAATTTTTTGGGTAAATGCTCCATGTCACAAAGCAGGGGATATAATCTGTGGTTTTGCTGCATGACAGCATTAGTGAAGAAATGATGTTATACTCACCTATTTGAGAATCCGTCTTTTACAGATAAAGTAACGGAGAATTGGTTTAAAATTTGAGACAAACACCTGCTGGATCCCAAACTGTCTTCCCATTTTCCCTTGACTTTAAACATTTGAGTATTGCAGGAGTATGAATCTCTCATAAGAAACACTTCTTCCATCAGTAATGTTGTAACTTTTCACACAACTTTTCATGTGCTGTGACTTTGGTAAATGAGTCATGTTGTGTCCAGAACTACATAGTTTCCTCTTACTTAACCATATAGGATTTAATTGATGATTGTCAATTATTGTCACTCAGATTTATCCCCTCTTAGGGGCTGATATTTCATACCAGTATTAGAAATCTCTTTATTTGGAAGCATAGATACCCTGTTACAATTTTTTTTTGAATGGAGATTTGATTCTTCATTTCTCTGCCTGTTTGAAGGGATTTTATAGAGTTAGTGAGTCCCTGTTAAGACATTTTTGCTTTGTGCTATATACCTGTAAACTACATCCATGCCTTTATCCTGTGATAACCTTGAAATACTAGCATTTTCACACATAACTGAGTCTTTATGGTTATTTTCTCCATGATGACAACTGAGAGGTGTATCACATTTTTGGTGGTGGGTTTTTTTTGAAGGCTATTGTTGCTTGCCCAGCAACCACAATTTGAGTACTACTGTGAAGATCAGGACTGGCTACCTGGTAAAATGTATAAAAGATGATGTGGGATTTGGTCTCAGTTCTGCTTTTGACTTGCATGTGAGCACATGCTAGGCACTAAACTGGCACTTCATAGCAGTTGTTGACAATAATAGCTTTATTAAGGTTTCATAATTATATAGAAAGCTGTTCCAGTTATATCTTCCTCTGTGCAAATGTACTCTAGGTAGTGTTTGCTGCTTTCACTTGAGCTAGGCTAATCCAAGTGATGTAACAAGACTAAAGCAAATCATTGCAATAAAGAGTAGGAGAGTCAGATATTATTCTGTTTTTATGAAGTGGAATGGTAGTGAAGCCTTAATTAATACTGTCTTGAGCTTTTCAACCTCACAATTATACAAAGCATTTGTTCTCTTATGTAATGATGTATCAAATTTGTGTATGCTGTATGTCATTCTGAACTTAAATGTTCTTGCCTTTGGCAAAATTTACTAGGCTTGTAAAATGTTTTTCCTTAACACAAATCTGATTATATTCGTTACCTCGTTATTGCTGACAGTATTTCTCTTGCCCACTGTTTTTATCGAGACCTTGGTTAGTGTAGTGGGGGTTGTTGCTGAGTAAAACTCAGTGAGACGCATGGAAGTTTTCATTTTTAACTGTGATGGTCTCGTCATCTTTTCCAGTTTTTTAAAGAATGTAGGTGGTCTTTTACACTCAAAACATTTTTCCACATTAGGTATCAGTAGTTGGGCACTATAAAGGAGTAGTTCAGTCCTTGTTTCCCCTAATTTGTCGCTCTGTACTGGCAGGGCTTCAAAAAGGAACATTTTTGGCTGAATGTTGTTTATATTGCATGTTTTAAGTGCTTTGTGGCCAGTCTCTTTTTTTGGTGCTTACTGTCAGAAAAATATCTTTCTTGGGCTTTTTGTTCAATAATGGAATCAAAGTTCATCCATCCTGTTTTGAAGCCTGACTGGAGATTGTTTCATTGGTCCTGAAGTCTGTGTAACAATAAACGAAAAGATACAAAGATTCAGAAAACGGACTACTTAAAATCTCCATCAGAAAGTAGATTAGATTACTGATTGGAGTTATCTTCCTTCCAAAGACTTTGGAGAAGAAAGGCTATTCTAGGTTTCCTCAAATGTTTGGTCTATCTAGTAAAGCAAAAGAAAACTTTCAAATAATTAGTGATTAAACTTTTTTTTTCCTTTTAAAACCAGTGGAAAACCAAATGAAAGAATGCCTTTCCATTCCATTTTTGATGCTCAGGTAAACATTAGGAGAGGATTGTTTAAGATTATAGTTTGCAGTCTATGAATGAAATTGCTCTTGACTGTAGTTGGGAGACAGCTGTTTGAAGACATACCTTTTGCTTTTATTGTATAAATATATGAATCAGGTGGAAGTGCCCTTTTGGGGAAAGGTTATGCTAGATATTTGTTTAGTGTGGCAAATTTAAGATTTTTTACAAAGCCCTTTCTTCCTACGCCCTTGCTGTTGGAACCTGACTAGAAATAGCAGCATTGACATAACCGTGCCTCATAGCCTATTGAAGAATCTGTATTTTTAACTGATGTTGCCTCATGTGATTTTAGTTTCAAGGAACTTTAAATAATTGCAAAAGGTAACATTTGGCCAATGGTGATCTTTCAAGTCACACACTAAGGACCTCTGTTTGCCCTTTAATCTTGTTTATTTCTGGTCGATAAAAGGCATAATTCTCTGACTAACATTTGCTAGCAGAAGCAGGTAGTGGCAAGAAAGTTACACAATTAAAATAAGTTTGTCTGATACAGGTTTATTTGCTTAGGCAGAATACTTAACACTGTGATCACCTTTCTGCAGCAGCAATCCACTCACCGTCTGGTATTGCCCTTCATGATCTTTTGATTTAGTAGTGTTTTGTTTCTAACATGGGTCGCTTTGACCAGATTGGTTTGGGAAATCCTTGACTGTGTAATTGTGTCAGTTTATCTTAAGGGTGAGTATTTTCTGGCATGGAGACGGTGATCTTTAAGAATCATAGAATCATAGAATCAT